TAGAAAAAAATATCACTAGCTAAGATCAAATGCAAATTTACAAACTGATGTGGTCCAACCAAGATCACTGTGTGACCATAAGAGATGGCAAGGGCTTCCCCAAAGAAAGAATCTGAGGATCTTGTAAAATACAAAAAGAAAACATGGGTCAAAAGTATTTTCTGATCTGTGGAGGACCACCAGGATGGCTCTCCTTGAAAAAAGAACATTTGGTTCCCTTTTGGCTAAACCTGGCCCTATTTCCGTATATTGATATACATAGCGTTGGCTGGGATATTTATTTATCACTTCAATTGGCTTTAAGCACTGCTAATAGGCCTAGCTGAGGTGCAGGTGTGAAGTCTTTAAGGCTGTGTGGTAGGTCACTGATGCTGCCTATAGCTCCAAACTAGTATGGAAGAAACAGGCAGTGGCCAAGAAAGAGGCCACGACAGCTCAGGGCATGAAGATCACACATCAGTACCAGGTCACCAACCCTTAAACAGGGGTACCTACTCAATCTGTGATATGCACATCACTCTGGGCACGTCTCTCTTACTCTGCATATTGCAGAGGTACTAGAAGGCCTGCTCCCTACCCCAGCTCACAGCACTCAGGTATTTTCTGCTAATCTCTCATTTATTCATTCCTGAGCCACTCCCTTCTTCACAAATTAACAAAACCTAGATTTGACTTGGCCCTGGGTCCAGGCCTTTGTTTTAATTAGCTATCATTCTAGCTAGACTTAGGACCCTGGTGGTTCCCTACAAATATGCCTTGGTGTCTTTATTTCTTGCTGTGGATAGCACTGGAAGTGGTAGAATGGAATTATTTATGGGAATTCCAGTACCTCTTCCCTGGGATTACAAATATGGAGTCCTCTGGAACGTGCTGCTGAACATTGCCTTTACTCTGACCTCACCCGGCACCACACTCAGAAAGTTCTCAATTAATCGAGGAATGTGCCACCCTAGAAAGACTTTCAGCTAAAAGAATATTGTGGATATACTTGCATTCAAGAAGGTTAAATGGGGGCCGGGGAAATGGCTCAGTAGGATAAACGTTTGACTGGCAAACGCAAGGATCTGAGTTCAATCCCCAGTTCCTCCAAAAAAAAAAAAAAAAGGTTAAATGCCAAGAAAGTGGAAACTGAAGTTTTAACATGTGGTTAGAAATTAGTAAAAGTGAAGCCTCCTCGCCCTAACCCAACTGACCCAATGTGCCAAGCACCATCTGCCTTTAAACCAGCCATTGGTGATTTGATGAAAATTCATTCATGTTCTTGATCTCTTTATGTCTTTCCATCCATGTCTGTCTCCCTCTGTCTCTCCCACCTTTCCTCCTGAATGCCCACATCTGCACATCTATATATACTCGTTTATTTACTTATTTTATAAAAGTAGGATTATACTTAACATTTAAGTCTGAAATTTGCTCTTGCTCACAAAGTACACCAGCAAAACCTGTCAATATATTCTATTTCTCACGATTTTTAGTGGTTTTATTACATTGTACTTTTAAAAATAGTGTTCTACTGTAGCTATTTATCTCTTTCATTCAAACAATTTCAAACATAAAAACATCAAATGTATTATCAAATTTTTAATGGAACTTTTGACGTATCAACCCATACTACTTGAAACATTTAATTATGGTTGTAAATTACTTTTAATGAGGTAATACACTTTCATTAATAGAATTCAATTCTCAAAGCATCAGAAAGCACAACGGACTGAAAATTGTGGTTGCAGAAACATTTGTATAACTATTAAAAGAATCATACATTTTGCTTCAGTCCAGTAGTTTATCATCTGGACAGAATTAGGCATCAAAGCAAGCATTCTGATTAGAGGGACATGACCCTATAGCAGTCATCCCAAAAGACACAGGCAGCTGTAGAAAGGACAACAGGGTACCTTGCCAAGAGTCACATGATGGGCAAGGACATCACACCTCACTGAGACACTTGCTCTGACATTTGGCCCAGCCTAGCCTTCCCTAATAATGAGGGCAGGAGGGACACAGCAAAAGCAAAAAAGAGAGGGCGAATAAAATTACACTCTTCCTTGGGCTCACATGTTGTCTTGCAATTTTCAGGATGGACCTTCCAACCTAGAGGGCATCTCTCTTTGACAGGGGACACTGGGAACAAGTGGAAAGTTTACAAGTCTCCTAAAGAGAAACAAAACCATTTGACACTATCTTACTTATGGTATTGAAGTTTTTGATGCCCATTATCCGAGAAAGAAACAACTTTTAGCAGTGCTGCTCACAAAATGAGTGTGTTAATTGCTCCATTTATTCAATACTGTTTGTCAAATATTGAAATATTTACATAGTTCCTGGTTAATTGTCAATATTCCCATTATAAATGCAAGTTCTGTGATGGCAAAGATTATCTTGTTCTTCATAGCCTTGAGCTTTCTCCCCACTGGGGTAGGAAGTCATTTAAGAGTACAGAATTTATTTGAGTCACAATTACACTGAATTTCCCTCAAAGAATAATGGGTCTGATAGAGTCAGAGAGGACTTCATCAAGGAAGAGAGAACTGCATTGAAATCTGCGAGACACACAGGAGAGCGACGCAGGAGCTTTCCAGCCAGAGGGAGTAACCAAGGCCCTGACTCAGAGCACTGGTAAAAGAGAAAGAAGACCAAGGCTCCTAGAACTTGGAAATGAGGCTGGGAAAGAGAATGAGGTAAAACAGGGGACACAGACAGGAAAAAGACAGTGAAAAGCTATGGACCAAGAGGTTTGGTCTTGTTCCTCAATGTGATGAACAGCCAGTGAGGGCTGTCCTTCAAAAGCAACAGGCTTAGAGTTGCATTTGTGAAAGATGACTATTTGGTCTTATGAGTGACCAGTAGATTGAAGAGGGATTAATTTGCATAGAGAAACTTTGAGGATGTTGCAATGATTTATGCAGTTGACAATATTAGTTTGGACCAGGATGGTAGAGATAGGGTGAAACAGATTAGGGTCTATTTAGAAAGGAAAATCAGTAAGATTTGATATTATTTAAATACAAGAGAAAAAAAAAACACATTAAGAAAATCTTTCTGGTTTCTAGATGATGTAGGTGCTGAAACAGTCACTCATTAAGGAGGTCCATGTCGGCTATGAAAGATCATGAGTGGTATGGATGACTGAAGACACTGAAGCTAACAATATCCACTAACACAAGCACTGTCCACTATGGGCCAGTGCTACACTTTAAATGGATTATGTAACTGCAGTCCTATAGAGTACCTGCTTTCTTTTCCATCTTTTTAGAGATAAGAAAACTGGTGCTCAGAGAAGCCTATTAACTACCATTCTCAGAGCTTACAATTGGCAGAGCTGAAATTTAAACTTAAATCTCTCCAATTCTAATGCAGACACTTTTAATGAGCAATCTGTACTGTTTGGTGACACCACAGGCCCATTCAGGGAAAATGCCATGGCTTCAAGACCAAAAGTGAACCTAAATAAGGACCTCTGGGACCAAATATTCCCAGAAACCGCCAGACCTTCTGAGTTTGCCACATGAGGGGTCCATATTTTCTGCTATTCTTTACTTCACACCTGTTCATTTTCTTTCCCTTGCTTTTGCTCAAACCTCAAAGTGACCTGTAGCTTCCTATTTTCAATCTTGTCTTCTGCCAGCTCCTGTGAGATTTTCAGTCTCACTGTTCATTTTAGCAATGGTCATAAGAAGGTTACCCGTTCAGATGTCAATGTAATTTCTACTTCCTAATAAAATGTGAACTATACTTCTTTTAAAAAGTCTTTCCTGCCTGGAAAATGTGAGGTCTTGAATTCAAAAACAACAAAAAAAAATTTTGATATAAGAAGTCACATTATTGTAAATAAGTTAAAGAACAACTTACAAACAATGCCATGGGGTAGATCCAGCTAGTGGCTACGAATTTGATTTTATCATTGCCTTTATTTCTAGCTATATAATAGAGTCTCATTCTATACACATGTGACCTGGGCACATTGGACTGTATGTTCTTGCCAGAGTGGGAAAGAAAGCACAATTTAAACAAAGTATACCATTACTCCCATCACTCTAATACATGAGCATATGTCCCTTGAGATATGAGATCTTCACACAACTGGTTTCAGTCCCCAAGCACCTCCTCCAATACAAATAATTCTCTAAGAAGACTAATTTTACCGTTTAAAAATAAGTATTTTAGTTATATTACAGCTTTTACTTCAGCTAATGATTTTTCCTAGTCCTCAGTGGAGGAAATAATAATCTATACCAGGACCTGAGAAAACTCACATCTGCGGGGCTGCTTAAAATACAGCACTTTCCCTTGGGAACTAAGTCCTAAGATACTGTAGTCAGAGCAGCATATGTTTCTGGAATCATCTTACTTTGAATTTTCACTCTGCTTTTATTACTCAACAAATCTGAGCATGAGTTGGGAAACGGAGAGCACTGATACAAGAGATAAATATACACCATCAGCAAATGAGGAGATGGAAATCATCAGGCTTCCTGAAGTCAAATATGAACAATCAGAACAAAATTATGCAACAGAGAGAAAAATGTCAAACCTAGGTTCAAAAACCAAACAATCATTGGAGATTGTATTATCATCTTTAATTCCCTGGAAGAGAGTCTCTAAAATCAAATTCCCACACCCAGACATCGTTGCACAGACATATTTAGTTAGAGGCCAGGTGCCATGTTTCTGTACCTGTCTTGCTGCTCACCAGACCAAAGTGACTCTAACCACTTAGCTTCACCATCCGCACAAAATTTAGAGCTCTATAGTAAATGTCATTGCTGATACTTGTCATCTAGACTGTCAGTTTCTTTCTGGCACATACTAGGTCTCACTAATCTCTAGACCTTAGAAAATGGTTAAAGGGATCCCTGTGCAAAGGCTGAGGACCAAGTGACGAGGTGAATTGCCAAAGTTGCCTCTCTGAGATTTGTTTTTTGTAATGAAAGACACGGCAATATCCATCTGCTTATTGCCTCCAGCCCTTAGCTTCACTGTGAACATTGTTCCATCCTTACCTATCCAGGGAAATGCAGCACAGGTGAAAAATTGACGCTGTTGTGAGCAGAACGTCTAGAGAAGTCCGGACAAGGCAAAACATCTCCCCATAAATCCAGATGTCTTGAACCAGCTCAATGGCTCCAAAAGGCATCACCAGCACTGAAACCAGCAGGTCAGCAAAGGCAAGAGATACAATGAAATAATTGGTCTTTATTTTCCTGTGAGTGAAAATACAGAAGGAAGGGAGACAAAAGGAAAAGGGAGGTAAAAGAAGAAGAGAAGAAATGGGAAAAGCGAGGCAAAGAAATAAGGGAAAAAGAGAGAGGAAAAGGGGAAAAATAGTGATACATTTAGTTTGTTCTGTGAGATTCATTTTCCCCTTCTGTAGCAAGGCTCAGGAGACACCCAGAGGTTGGACCAGTCTGACTTCTCCACTTTGTACCAGAAGCCCTTCTTCCCTCCCCATCAGGCACTCTGGACTACTATGAGCACACTTGGTTCTTTCTTGAGAGTCTTCTACACCAGTGTTCTCTCTTCCTACACTGGCTGTATCGCTTCCCATCCATATTTCAGTGCTAGACTGGTCACTCTCAGGGATCCCTCCCCAAATGCAGTCCTCACAAACTGCAGTCACCTTCCAACATTTTGTACCCATAGACTGGCTGCTGAATGCTGCATCCATATGACACTGGCCATCAGCTTCACTTGCATCATTATTACACTGATGTCCATCTTGCTGAGGGAGAACTCACACTGTGTGCCCTCTTTCATGGCCCAATGGCTCTCGATCCAGGCTGATGCTAGAATTACTTGGATTGTTGAATAAAAATGTTCCAGATTTCATTCCAGACCACTTAGTTTAGGAACTTTGTGTTATTTGCACACCCTTGAAAACAGCAGCCCCTTAAACACAGGATGTGGGCTGAGAATGTAACTCAGTGGTATATTGTTGTCCAACCACAGATTAGGCCTGGGGTTCAATTGACAACGATGCCAAAAACAAACACAAAAAAAAAACCACACAGGTTTCCCAGTTAAATTTATATTTAACAATGAATAACTGGAGTCTAAGGATGGTAACAACATTGCTTGGTACACACTGATACCACACAGTAGTATTTTTTAGAAGCACTTGAATTGTTTCTAATTGCGGCCAGGGTTGAAAGTGATGAAAAGTAAAGAGCAGAAGTAAAGAGCAGAAGACTCAGGTTTAGTTCTGGGTCAGTCGCTGGTCAGTCCTTCTTTTCTGGAATCATGGATAGAATATGGAGGTTACAGATTAGAGATGTTCTCAATAACTACATATATAGTGATCACAACTATTTAAACCAATCAAATAAGACTTAGGAAAAAGGACAGGGTGGAAATACACCAAAGTGCTTATGCTGGTTATGGCAGAGTTATAGGATTATGTGTGATACTTCATCCTGCTTCTATGTTTCAAAAAAATTTTCCTGAATATTTCCTTCTTAATTAAAAATTACAAGGTTACTATTCAGGCCTGACTCTCCAGGGGTGGGCCCAGAACTCCACCTCCACTTCCTATATCCTTTCCCCTATTGCTCACCTGAGCTGCCTATCCCTGCACACAGCCACCATCACCAGCAGGTTGCCCAGGATGGCCATCAGGATGACTGCTGAGAGAAACATGAGCAGCACGACCTTCTCCACTGACCCAAAGCCCTCCTTGGAACTGGAAGACACAGATACACAAAAAAACAGAGAATTTTAGAAGACTCCAGAACATGGGAAAGAGAACTCATTTTATCTTTCTTGAAGCAGAGAAAGGTAACTTCAACACTGACAACTTCAACGTGTGTCATGTACCTAACATATTCCATGGTCTGTACCCTTCATCTGACAAGTTCTTCTGTTTAACTCCTGTATCATGAGAACATGAGAACAAAGGCACAAGCCCACTGGCCTGAGTTATTCTCCATCGGACAATGTACTCAGCAATGTATTTGGTTTATTCTTCTTTTGTGTACCAATCAACTAGGTTATACATTGTGTGGAGTAAGGATCTCTGCTCTTCCATTTCTGTATATTCAATGTGTCACTCACATATTATCAGATGAAAGAACAATAGTATTGGATGAATCAATTATAGTACTATCACTAGGGTCTTCTTGAGTACACGGGCATCCTTGTTTTTAGTATCTCATTGCAGCCCATGCAGAAGTTCCTGCTTATGGGGAGGCTGCCCCAGGGAGTGATTATACTTAAAGCTTGCTCTTGGCTCTCTTCTATCAGTTCACCTAGACACACTGATCCTAGATTCTGTGATGCCCACAGAAGAGACAGCAGCCAGTCAGTAAGCGCAGATACTTTTTCTACTGCCCCCTGAGTTAGGTCCAGGCTTTGGTCTACTACAAAATTTTGTCCATTAGGTAGGCGCTGAAGACAAAGTCACAGTTGGAATCAGGAATCAACCTTGCTGTAGTTGTATAATGAAAAGGTTCCTCCACTATGCTGACAGATGTTTCTATATATTTATTGATTGAAACTTTTAGAGCTGGGATACAGATTGAAAGAAAAGACGTCCATCTAAATCACCCTTTCACACATAAATTCCAACCATCAAGAATTCAAATGCTGGACAAGGAACACTTGATTCAATGTGGGAAAAGACTTCAATAACAACATGATGTACCCACTGATTTAAGACCATGTAAATTGGGATGAAACGTTTATAAAAGAGGTGACAATGGTTCTTCTCTTTGTACTTCTTAAAGACTGCCTCAGAGCTCCCTGAAATGTGTTCCCTCCTCAGGGCTCTGTATTTGATGTTTTTTCCTGGAATGCTTCTTGAATGACTGTCTACTTATTGTCATTTAGGTCAGACTAAATTCAACTCTTATTTAATGTGTCACAGACAACAAACATTTTTCTTTTTCTTTCAAGCATTTATTGTTCTCTCAAACAATTTCTGTTATTTATTATGTCTGTATATCATTCCATAGTCTGATCTGGTTCTCTTTTCCTTCACAATTCCAAATGCTCAACACAATGTCTAGTCTGTAGTATGTCATATATATATATATTAAGAATTCAATTTGCTAGGTGAGTGAAAGACATGTGTTGACAATGATAAGGTTTATTCTTCCATTTCTTTTAAAATATAGAGGAGACTTTACTTATAGAAATAAATTCCCAAGGCTAAAACTAAAGCTATTTTTGAGTAATTTAAAGGGACATCATTTGAACTAAGAATAGTTTTGCACATTCATTCATTCACTCAACAACATTTTCTAAGTACTACACCTACTCTGCAAGGCATTGTATGTTCCAGGGAAATAGCAATAAGCAGAGCAGAGACCAGACAATGAACAGACACATCACAAAATATGCACTGTCAGTTGACAAGTACATTCTATGGCAAAAGAATCTGGAGGATTAAAGAAGCTGGGAATGCCAGTTAGGGCTAGAAATTGACTATTGTGTCATGGTTGTCAGAGAAGGCTTAATAGGAAAGTTGTTACACCTTCAGGTACACAGACTGTGTGATGAAGCAGGACCAGTGAGTAGCTGTGGACAGTGACTGCCAACCTCAGAAACATACTAAATTCTTTCCAGGAGTTTTATAAAGAGCTGAAAATAGGCTGCAACTTCAGACCAATTACAAATTCAGATGTACTGTAATTGGTCTTGTTTTCAGACTGACTGTCAGAAGTTTTTAAAACTGTCAAGTGATTCTGGTATGCCACTGAGGTTGAAAGTCACTGTTAAAGGGAGTCAAGATTTATTCGTAGATGATAAGAACTTTCTAACAACCAAACATGATCTGGAGCAGCATCTTGGTATTGTTTTGAGCTCCCTGGCACAGAAATGTTTATGAACAACTAAATCCAATGAGATATGACTTTGTACTCATTAGGATGGCTATAGTAAAAACAAAACATAAAATGCAACAAAGACTAGCAACTGTTGGTAAGAATGTGGGGGAAATTGGAATCACTGTCCATTGCTGACAGCAATAGAGAAATTAGTGAGGTCCTGGGTTTGATTCCCAGCAACCCTCCACCACCACCACCAAAAGAAAGATAAAAACAGAATGACCTTATGATCTAGCAACTCAATCCTAGTTCTACAGCCAAAAACAAAAACAAAAAAAATCAACCAACCAAACAAACAAAAGAAAACAAAAACACAAAGACCCTCAAAAAACAAAACAAAACAAAAAAAAAAAATGAGAGCAGGGATACAAACAAATGCCTGTATAACATGCATCATTAGTCATAAGAGTCCAAAGATGGAAATGCCACTAACAGATAGTTAAATATACATATACATATATATATAATATAAATATATATATATGTAATGATTACCTTGCCAATAAAAAGGTTTGTTGAGTGTCATAACTAGGATGAACCCTGAAAATAACATTATGCTAAGTGAAATAAACCAGGAACAAGTATTATATGATTCCAATTAGTTGAGAATCCAAGTATAAGGCCAATTCATAGGGAAAGAAAATAAGATAATAGCTTTCAGGGCCTGAGGAGAAAGTGAATGGGGAATTATTATTTAATAGTGTAGAGTTTCTGTTTTGGATGATGGAAAAATTCTAGAAATGGGTAGTGGTAATAATAACTTTACACCACTGTAAACATACTTAACATCACTGATGTGTACACTTAAAGCACTCATTTTATTTATTTATTTATTTGTATTTTAGGGAAGGGTCTACAGGTATTCAGGGTCTCACTACTAGATCAGACTTGTAGCAATCTGCCTGTTTACAGCCTCCCAAGAACTGGGATAACAGTTGTGCACCACCATGTCCCATCTCAATTGCCATCTCAGCTCACCCCTGGGGGAGGGGTCAGCATGGCAAGCCTGAGTATCGAACCCCTGGCACCTGCACCTGCTTGCAGGCACTTTAATCCACTGATTAAAGTGAGCTATTTGTCTGGCCCCTTATTTTATATATTGGTGTAAACTTCATGATAATAATATTTTATCATAGCAAGAACACAGGAACAATCATTTATCAGGATATTATATGGAGCTCTTATATTAGGGGCAGGAAATCTCAGGTCCTTGTCTAAGATTGGAGATTTGAATATTTATTTAGAACATGGTCTTCCCATCAAGCATATTCTCACCATTAGAAGCATCTCCTGTGTTGAGTGAGCTTGTCTGTGATGAAGAACTCTGGCTCAGAGGACACATATTTCAAATCAATTGGGACCTCAGGGTCAGAAAGCCCTGGGTCCAGTGTTATGGGTCACTTGTGGTATGTCCATTAGGAGCTAGAAATAGCTACACTTTAAACCGTGAGTGACAAGCAAACTGCAACCACTGGAGGAGCTTTTGTAATTAAGCAGAACTGTCCATTGAACAAAATGTAAGTCCGGTAATGACAATTAAACTACATTAAAGACCACTTCTGTGAAATCCATGTGAAATCCTTGGTTCCTGACACCTCCAGAAATACTGTAAAATACTATGAAATGGTCCTGGTTTGGCAAAAAAAGCTATCCACTAAACTCAATAAATTCTCTGGAACATATTTTATGAGAAGTTTTAATATTGCTTTTTTTGTGATCCTTCGATCTATAATAAATTCCACAAACTTGCTGGCTGTTTGTCATTTTTTTCTGTTCTTAATGAGAAAAAAACATAACAGGTTATTTACATAAAACTAGGCTATAAGACCAAAGTATGACATGACTAAGTAACTCCAATGTCAAAAGCTCACATGCACACATACACATAGAGGTGCATGTACACGCACTTTATCTGGAGTCAAATTTATGTTCTCTCTGTTTTTGCACTGGCTTTGTCAACAAGCTGTACAACCTCAAGCAAGTCACTTCTCTGTCTTTTGAAAGAAGTCACCTTTATTTGTCTAATTTTGCCCAGTGCAGTTTTTGCTGTGACAGTGCACATTAGTTTTATAACTATATCATATATGTACTTTTTACATTACCTTTAAAACCTGCCGTGATTGCTGATATATTTGCATTTGCAGTATGACTCACATAAATCATTTTTCTTTTGTTTTTTCCTTCTCTCCACCTTCCCATTTCTTTTTACTTGTGATGCTGTGGATCAAACCCGGAGTCAGGCACATGCTAGTTAACTGTTCTGTTGCTAAGCTGCAATCTCTTATGCTCCCGTATATTCATTTTAAAATTTTAATATAGTACAAGTAGATGTTAATAAAGAAAATCTAAGGGCCTGTCAAATAGCTCAGTGGACTGAAGTGTCTGCTTAGGCAAAGCACAGTGGCAGGGGTTCAATTCCTGGTATGCTGTACTAGCCCCACCCCTGGTGCGCTGAGAGGGCGATTGAGACTGGGAGTGGTGGCACCTGCCTGTAATCCCAGCTCTTGGGAGGCTGAACACAGGTGGATCACTACAAGTCCAATCTGCATAGTGAGACCCTGTAGACCCTTACTAAAATACAAAAAGAAAAAGAAAGAAAAAATAAAAAGACTCCCCTTTAAAAAAAACAAAAAGAAACAAAATTTCATATGATTAGAGAATGATTGTTAATATACTATATATCATAGTCCTAAACAGAAGAATAAAACTTATTCCTATAGAATTATTCTATAATAAGTATTATAAAAGTTTTGCTTCAGATTTACTAGTAAGCATTAGTACATGCTTACATGAAGGGCTTGGTTAAAACAGATTACAGGCCCTGCTCATACAATATTTCTAATTCAGAGTGTGTGAA